TCATGCGTATTTACACTTTTGCCTTAAATTACTTCCCTAGACACCAATAAAAAGAGACACAGGAGGAAAAAGTACCAAGAAGTGGCTTTTAACTTTTAATAGCAGGAAACACTCACTCATCCACTGAGCCAGCTAAGGGTTTCTTGGATCGCTTTATTGCATAAATACAGCCGTCAAGTCTCTTCACACATTTAAACACAGAGCCAAATTCACCAGAGCCAATCTTCTCCAACTCGTGAAATTCTGTTGCATACCGTGACTTCATATTACTTTCTGTTATTGTTATCCTCTGTAAATATTAGAAAGAAAAATAGTTAGATCTGGAGATACATAAAATGCCAAATGTAGTATCAAGATCTAAAGACTAATCACCTTAGCTGGTCTGATCGTTTCATCTTCAGGCTCTCCATCACTTGCTTCCATGTCCTCTCCACAAGAGCTGAAATTCACAACAGTTATTTTTGCAGAAGTAATGTGGCTTAAGTAAACTTAAAACTGAAGTCTAGCAGCTGTTGGTAAAATTAGATCTCAGTGAAACCATTATACCTAAGTTTAGTTGAACTAGTTGAATGCTAGACATTTCATAAGTGCGAACTCTTATATAAGGGTACCTGTTTTTTTCCTCCTCAAGAAAAGACTGTGTGCATAGTTTATGCAGTAAGGTAAAAAGACTGTAGGTCACAGCCTTGTCTATACTCTCTATATATTAATCAGAAGATCTAGTGCTAAACAGGTATTTCATAATATCTCAAAGCAGATACTTTTAAAAGTTGCAAGGAAAAATACTTTTATAGAATCAATTTGTAACAAAATTTTTCCAGCTAAAAGTAGTTCTAAAGATAAGCTTAACAAAGGAAGATAAAAGTTACTCACTCATTCCAGTGTGTTCTCTTCCTCCTACGACATTTTCCTTCAGAGTTGTGAAGAAACATGGAATCAGGAGTGAAGGGATTGATGTTCACATGAGGTGTTCGTCTAATATCATCATCTTGCTTCTCTGATTTCCCAACATTCATAAATAGAGAGCCCCCTCGAAGTTTAACTGAGCTGGAGCCTATTCCTTGTGCTTTAGAAAGCAAACTCTGAAATTATAGGAAAAAAAGACATTTATAAAATTATTAGGCTTTACGCTCCACACATAAACAGTTAAATGAAACACTGAATGTTAGAATAGTTTTTAATAGACAAGAAAGATTACAAAAGCAGTTGTTTTTCTATCTTTAACCATGTCATCACCTAAGCTTCTTGGACAACTCTTTGTCCATGAAATAAACTCAGACGAAACTCACAGACCATTCTGTGCTGTATCACCATGATTTTCACATACAAGATTTAGAAATTAGATCAGACATAGGAAATTATCTTTGGTGACTACAAATTTAGGTGGCGATTAATACTGATGCACAGATGCCTCTTCATGAGCCTTCAAAAAGTTGCTCAAGAACTGACACCAGTATTATGCTGTAAATTCAACATCCAGGCCAGAACTTTTTGGTCATGATTTGTCAGACCAGGTGTCTTCCAGGTACATGATGAAACTTCCCCAGTTTGCACCCCCCCTCTCCTGCATCCTGGTGATGATGCCGAACACTGACCTACTGGATCCTAGTGCCTAACACCTTTCAAAATAAAGAATTAACATAACTAAAGCCTAAACCACCATAGGAAAGAAGGCTCAATGCTTGGAAATCTCAACTGCACTCTCCAAATATGGAACAGATGAAGAGCTTTAAATCACTGTTTCAACACACGTTTCAGTACTTCCACTGGATACCCTGGCCAACTGATTCCTCCAGATTCCAAAAGTAACCTCTCCAAGATAACCCCTGTAGAATTTGGGCACCTAATTTAAAAATCCCACTGACAAGCAGGGTCAGGACCTTGTTTTGGTGTCACAACAAGCCTCTTGCATCTGTAAAGTGTTGCTCCTTACTCGATACAAGATCATCACCAGTTTTACAATTTCCAAATAAGTACCGCTCGTTTCTACTAGTGAAACCTCACTTAAGATGGAAGCTGTAGAAAAGCAATTAACAAGGTTGCCTTCCTCGCACCTTAAATCAGTTGTTTTCGATCTACAGTCTACAGACCTCTAGGAGATTATCCCTGGGGATTATCCTCAGATTACTTCTAAAGGGCTATATGAAAAGTAATCAAGAAAGCAAGTCTATTGTCACTAGATTTAAATTCACTACACCGTGTTTTACATGTTTTACATGAATGTCGAGTTCAAAAGTTGAAATGCCTTACAAAAGTTTGTTATTGCCAGAGTTAAGAGCTACCCATCCCTTAAAGCTTTCAAATCCATTAGTTTAACAGCATCGGCTACTCAAACTGCCTTTTACGTTTCACAAGGAGTGCAGGCACTGAGCTGATGCTGGCGCACCGCGCCAGAACAGCAATGGCACTCGAACGAGACATATCGGTTAGACAGACACACAGGGCAAACTCCAACTCAAGCTTTAGCTTTCTGTTTACTAAGGGACAAATGCCCCCACAACACTAAAATACTTAAGAGTTCACTATTGTGCTTTCACCTTTTCTAGTATTTTCCTCACAAAAGACAGCAAACTCAGCGTACTTATCCATGTATAAGTCGTATACATGAAAGTGTAAAAATGTTTTTACACATGTACCCTTTACGTATATCGCGGTCTGTGCCCCAAGCCCCGTTACTCTACGGGACAAACCGCAGGTTTGCGGGGGGCGGCCAGCCGGCAGGCAGCCACTACTGCAGAGCGAGCCGAGCGGCGAAGGCCCTAGGGGGGGGCCCCGCCCGGTCGGGTTCAAGGAGCAACGCAGAGCGCGACGCCCACCCGCTCCCTTCCCCCCCTCCCCCCCCCGCTGCTCCCTGGCTTGGGCCCACCGGGGCGCGCAGGCCGAGCGTCTGCCCCCGCCGATTACATAACCGTAACGGCTGTGGGCAGCACCCGGGCTAACGCCAATTCGCCGCTGCGGCCAGGCGGGGTGGCGCAAGCGGCTCGCGGGACGGGCTGCGAACTCATGCGGGCCCCCATAGGCCCTCAACACCCGCATTTCAACCTCCGGGCGCGACGCCTCCCGCCGCAGACGAGCCCAGCCCCCCCCCCCCGCCCCGGGCAGGCTGCCCCCAGGAGGAGATGGCGGGGCGGCCGGTGGCTCACCTTGGGAGTGTGGGGCGTGTCGAAGAGGCGCAGCTTGCGGAAAGTCTTGTGAGGCGGAGTGCCGGGGTAGTCGGGCAGCGGCGAGCTGGGCTCCTCGCTCCGCACCCGGTATCCACTAGCCGCGGCGCGTGGCGGGGAGCCATCGCAGTAGCGGCGGCCCTTGTGAGGGGGGGGCGGCGAGGGCGAGCCGGCCATGAAATAGGTTCCGGGAGACTTCACCGGAGAGGAGCCGAATCCCTCCTCCTCCCACGAGTCCCCCTCGTCCGGCAGCGGCGCCGCCGCGGCCTCCATCTCCTCCTCCTCCAGCAGGGGTGGGTCGCCCCGCGCCGGGGTGCGAGCAGCCGAGAGCGGCGAGTCTGCCTCCTGGAAGGCCGAATCCGCCTCCTGGAAGGCCGAGTCCTCGCCGGTGCTGTTGCAGCTGCTGCCGCCGCCTTCCTCCTCCTCGTCCTCCTCCTCCTCCTCCTCGCAGTCGCTGTGGGCGCTCAAGAACAGCAGTTTCTGCCGGATCGGGGCAGCCGCCCGCCGGGCCGAGACCCGCCGCGGCGGCGCCGCCTGCTGCAAGCTGAGGAAGCTCATGGCGGCCCGCTGCGAACCCCGCTGAGGGCCGCGCCCGCTGTGCCTGCGCTGCCCCAAGTCTGCCGGGCGCAGTACGCACCTGGGTGTAACGCTGCCCCCAGGCACGGCTCACCTCACGCTGTTCGGACTCCGCGGCTTTCCCGCGACCGTTAATCACGTGGCACACGCGCCAGCCAATCACGCCCACCCACTCGGTTTGAAAACACCGAGGGCGGGGGCGGAACCACACGCGGCCGCGTCACGGGGCCCTTTGGCGCGAACGCCGGGAGCGGTGGGGCGGGGGCGGGGCGGGGCTCAGGCACCCGAAGCCGGCCCCGGTGCGGACACACGTACGTGTCAGCTCGCAGTGGCGCGGGCTTGCGCCATCTTTGCCGCGGGCGGCGGTACCGCCCAGGAGCGGGCGTTGGACGGGCGGGGATGTCGGGCTGCCCTGCCCTGCCCTGCCCGGCCGCCTTCTGCCCTTCCGTGGCCGCAGCGACCCGCTTCACAGCAAGGCTGTTCTGCTCCCTTTCTGTTGGTTGGAACGCACAAAAATCTCGTGGCGCCCCAAACCAGTAACAATTCCCATTAGGCCAGTTAAAGACTGCATTTTTTAGCTAAGCCGTAAAAACAGTACATTCCAAATAACTCGATTCAGGTGACTTACAATGCAGTCAAAACCACAGGAGCCTCAAATACAACACCTCACGCTGTTAGCAATAACTCCTACAAGACACCAAAAGGAACTCGGCACAGTAAACGTGACTTACCGAAGGTGCCATTTATCAGGCTGTCTCCCTACACGTGCCAAAACAGTCTCTCAGCTTCATTTTCCACCTCTTAACCACCTCGATGAAACGTATCGCAACAAAACCACCAATCTTCTTCCTGTACCAAATCACCCTAAAATTAACCCCCTGGGTAATAAAGGTCCTGAAAAATTAGGCTCTTTCCAGCCACAGGAGCTGGGAAAAAAAGCCTGGTGCATGTCACTGTATGAATTTCCCTGTCCTTCCCCACGCTCTTGGTGCAGCACAGCATCTGCCGGATGTGCAGGTAGCATCAAGGGTTTGCCTCCCTGGCAGTTGAGGGGCACCTAGGATGCTTGGACTCCACAGCACAGCCCCTCTTCTGCCAGCCTGTGCTCCTCGCCAGCCTCCTTCCCAAAGCCTACCTCTCACACCTGCAGGGCAAACCCTCATCTACTGCAAATGGCACTCTTCTGCACAGAGCAGCACGGTCTGGCTTTGAGTCTGAAAGCTTCTAAGATAACAAACCAGAACACCTAAGACCTGGCCAATAGAAATCGTAAGTTTGTACTTAACCATGTTTCTGTTGTTTGCTGATCTGTTGCTGGGTCGCTGATCCTCGATATCCATGGGCAGAAGCCTCAGAAGCAATCTGGGACATGGTTCCAGCTCCCATGGCTGTAGCCGAGGTACAGATGTTGCTGCTGCTGAAGGAAGGCCCTTTTTTTTTTTGCTGCCTGCTGAAACAGGACACCCATATGTCCATTAGGTAGTTATTTGTACACAGATTTTCCACTGAGGCACAAACCAAAAATACCAGAATACATTTTTATCCATTTTCAACACTGGTGCTGTTAATACAACTGCCGCTCTCCAAGTGCCCACATACTTTCAGGAAGTAACAACCAACACAGGGATGCTGGTGTCCCATACTCTGCTACTGCTAGCAACTCCTCCTTTTTAAACCTTTTCTATGTGAAGATACCCACTTCTTTGTGGAGGGCTGCTGTGCAGGGCAGTGTAACTGTCTCCAGCAGCTCTCACCAGTACTCTGCAGGGGGTGGCTGGCTGTGCCACCCGCACTGCACGAACCTAAGAGCATTTGAAATTAATTTGGCTAAGTGGACCAGCCGTCAATGAAATTCACACGATGCCTGTGCAGTGAAATGGCTTTGCTCAGAGCTCTGTCACCTTGAGACATGTGGGTCATAACCCTTTTCTTTTGTAAGGCCTACACAGAAACATTTCTGCTTTAGTATCGCATCCCTACCTGTTTCTCACACTTTCAATAGCCTGAAAGCTAAGACAGTTGTTTCGGTTTGGGGTTTTTTTGTTTTTCAGGACAAGCAGTGGTGAGCCACAAGAGCACACTCTTTGACATTATGGAAATGCCCTGAAAACTACTTTCAGAAAACTGAAAGTAGCCAACCTAACCTATGAAAACAGGATTAGGCAGCATTTACAGAGGTACAGCTACATCAGACTAAGTGCTGTAAAAACACTTGGTGTGCAATAATTTAGAATCATGCTAATGTCCCATTAAAAAAACTAATGTTTAAAACCAAAGCGTGCTGTACAACAAATACTAAAGCGTTCAAGTTTTGGAACAGATGATGTAAGAGAAGGCTATTAAAAAATACAGCCTGTATCTCCTCGGTTAAAGTCCACAGAGGGAGATGCAAAGCAGTTCCTAAAACATCCCAGCTACCATCTGCGGCTTGCTTCAGTCATATATGAAGCTTTCTTTTCTTTAAAAAAAAGTAAAGAATTTAAGCTTTCTATAAACCCCTTCCCCTGAAATGTCAAAGTTTCCTTCCCAAAATCAACCTAAATAGAACTGGTGCTGCTTTGCTTTCAGCAGTCTACTAACTAACACAGGTATTTAGTGAGGGTAAGTGGCAAAATGAAATTCAGCAGCCCTGTTGTATAGACTTTAACTAATGTATTGCTAATCACTTCAGTTTAAGTGGGACAAAGTCAAATGGAACAATTCAGAATTTGTACACAGATGGAAGTATTTTTGAAGACAATACAGAGGAAAGGAAAAAAGGAACAGAGAAAGAAAGAAACACCAGTAACAGCTTTAAAAAGAAAGTTTATTTCCAAACTGAGAGCAAATAAGAAAGGGAAGTACTGAATAAATACGTAATTATAACAAAATGCATAGTTGCTATATAAGGACAGCCTTTGTAGGCTTCATAAATGTGCTGTTCTGAATTTGCATCGCTTGTTTTTTTGCTGTGCTTTCATGGGACCATAAGCGGTTGCATTGAAGAGAAGATTATTTTCCCCCTAGAAAGTGGCAACTCTGTTCTCTTGCCCCCATGACAACACTACAATGAACATTGGTAGGCCTACAAACAGCCTAACGAAAAAGCACCGCAGAGCCAATTTGCTTAGAGGGTGCATTAGCAATCATCACAGGAGGAAGAGAGGTGAGCAGGGAAGAGCTCTGCAGGCTTCTCCTGCGCCACACTGTAAGCCAAATTCATCACAAATTCTCTGATACTGAGAACTGCACCTTTGAGCAAACAAACTAAAGCCCTGATCCTCCAAATAGATAAAACAGCATGTAACTTTATGTCCGGGTGGTGCCTGACAGATACCCCTGCAAACGTGAGCAGTTTAAGAGTTTTCAGGATATATTTGCAAAACTTGCTTCTGTTTGGTTTTTGTGGCTTTTTTTTTTCAATAATAGTTGCTTTTAAATTAAAAAATAAGTATATCAGTCTGGTGCACTGAGGATTTTGCTACCAGACATACTTATCTGGGGCAGCACACATTCACCAACAAACAAGTGCTTTTAACTAGGAGTTTTCAAGCTCAAGGAAAACAGTTGTTCCCTCTTTTGTGGGTAGCAGGGGAATACAAATAATGATGAATGGAAAAGAAATGGAACAAAGGCTCATTTGTCTGTGTGTCAGAGGGAACTGCCACAGAAGAGGGTACACTGCCATCTTATCAGCATTTCCTGAACTCACAAGTTCATCTGCAATCCCCCCAAAATCTCTTTGATCAAATTAGTTCTGCCAAAAACTGGATTAAACCCATTCTGCATCAGCCAGCACAGTTGTGAAACTACGATGAATTCATCTTATAAGATGGGTAAATGGAGTGAAAAAGCGGAAGAGAAGGAGGGTCAAGTTGCTGATATAAAAAACAGAAACACTACAGCCACCTGTGCCAAAACTGTTGCTGGAGAACCAGGATCAGGGACAGATCTGTGCTATTTCTGGCTTTTCTCTTTGGTTTCAGCAGGTACCCAGAGACCAGTGTGCTTGTTACCAGTGCCAGTGATGGCATTCCAGTGTTCATGGAAGATCTGGTATATACAGGGCTAATGGGCCTCAGTAGTAGTGTGCTAACTGGGAGATGTTGTCTCCGGACCACCAAGAGTTTAAAGGTTAGTTTATCTGAGGTTGTGCTGCTAACAGCTGATGTTAGCTGGCAACCTCTTTTCTTCATTACAAGGTCCAGAGTTGAATGGGTTCTCCATCAAAGGTGGATTTTGTGTCCAAAGACGTGCCTGTAGTTGATGCTGCCAATCCTTTTACTCTTTTTAGCCTATAGTCTGCATGCAGATAGAACATTTCTAAAGGGTGTATTCACCCAGAAATTATAAATAGTAAGAGCAAGAAAACAAGGTGGAGAACAGAATGGGGAATTTGACAGGACCTAGGATGCCTCCCAAAGTAAAGAGCACCTTCTGGGCCCAAACCCTGGGAATTTAAGGATTGAAAATACGCATCAGTCATAATACACAAGGTACATTAAAAAAAACAAAACCAAACCAAAACAAAAACTACAGGCTTTGCCAAGCAGTCACATACAATTCAGTATTTCTCTGTGACTATGACAGCACATTCTTTTTAGTGACTCCCTTTTTGCCTGTACACCTGCCTCTTAACACTTGAAATCTCTGCTTACAAAGTGGCAAAAGAATCTATTTGAGAGTTGTATTCAGATCAGCAATTTCCTCCGTAACGTACTAAAAGTTGAAGAGACAGAATGATTGCCATGACTGAAAGCAGGTACAATTTGAATGCCCCATTCCTTTACTGAAGTGAAAATGATCTGAATAGAACATAATCTGCAATTAAAAACCTCAAAATACCTAACGCACGTAAACTAAATAGTCACTACTAGTTTCCCAGGATCATTAGCTTGCTTTCTTTTTCTCCTTCAGGGAACACGTAAAAATCACAGAAGAGGTACTCAACTTTTTTTTCAAATTTACTACTATTCATTTTATAAATCTCTTACACATTATCATGTAAGGTAAGACATTTTTCCAAGCATTTTTAGGGATGCAGATAAAAAGATAGTAGCCTAGTAAAAGTTTCAAGAAGTTCAGATACCTTCTTCCCACTAACATCATCCTTAGGAAGCTATGTACATTCAAAAACCCGTCTCTTACATCTTGAATATATGGTTAAAAAAAAAAAAAGCTAATCCTGCCTGTCCCAGTCTTGTACTTTCAGAAAGCACAAGACTGACAAACCTGTCTTGCACTTTAAGGCTTTTCAGTCATTACAACCTATATTCAAAATCTGAATTAGCTCTATACCAAAGCAAAGAGCTCAGTAGAGATGTAGCTTTGGAACATTGTCTTCTCCAGGAGCTTTCTACAGTCGTGATACGTTTCTGTTACACCAGCAGACCTGCCAGATGTTAGGCTTCCTTTCCTATCTTGCCTCAGTAAGACAAGCTCAGAAGCCTCTCAGCCAAAAACTATAGAATCAAGCAGTAACATTGTGGAGAGTCTAAAACTCCCCAGAAAAATAAGTAAAATACAGCAGTCAGTCAATCTAAGGGCTGGCAAGGGACTTAAACAAAGGAAAGACAAAAATGTTGGGGTTTTGACAGTAACAGAGAACACTTTTGTTACAGAAGTAATTCTGCACGATCACTTCTGCCCTGAAATTGTAAATGTTTTGCCATTCCTTTGAGTAAAAGGCTCAAATAATCAAACCAGAGCAAAAATAATCCAAATAAAATCTCTTACTGCTTCAGAACCTGAGATGGATGGCATTTAAGGGGGTCATATTTCCATTAGAGATAAATACACAAATTGCATAGGACATTATGTTTGCTTGTTGATAAAAGCTTGTATGTTTATTGGGATCATAAAAGTCTGCTTTAAGTATAACCCTCAGTTGAAAACGTCTGGTATCACATTCCCAATAGGGTTAGGTGTCAGCCACTTACTGCTAATGGTGATGATCTAATTAGACTGTTAAGTTTTGCTTTGGCCAACTGAACTTTGCTAGCAGAATTAAAAACAGCATCAAAGGAATGTCAAACTGCTGGCAACTCCCGAGCTACATTTTACAATACACATAACACAAAGAAAAATGCTTGTTTCTATGTATTATTTGGAGCGTAGTTTACTATACAGGACACAGGAAATGACAGTAGCTGTTGATTATTTTTTTTTTTGTCTTTCGTAATAAAGGTCCATAGGTAAGTTTTTCCATTGATGGAGCAAAAAATACTTTTGGGGATCTAGTGTTCAAATATATATATTGCTTTGCAAAAAAATAGGAATACCTTACTATGAACAACCGGCTGGAGTTTGCATTCATGCATCTGCAAGGACAAGGCATGTGTTAATTTCTGTCTTTTTTCAGGACAAAAGATGCATGCTGAATAAATATATTTTTAAAGTTCCAAACAACTGTAAATAAATATTATGGATAATTTCATTGTTTTCATTCAATGACAAACCAAGAATGACTGAATAGGTTTGTTATAGGGCATTTGTCAATCCAGGGTGTGCAATCTGACTAACAGCTGTAACGCTGAAGTTGCCCGATTCCAAAACAGTTTTAGCACATCCTGACTCCATGCCATCTTTTCCTGGTGGCTCATTACTGTTTAAATATCTTCTTGTCCTTTGGAAGGATCCCTGACTGCACTCAGAGAAGTACACAGCATGCAGTCAAACAAGTGACTCCCGGCAGTATTTGAGGGGTTATGAGGGTTTGGAACTAGAGTAAAGTTTAGGAAGAACATCCTTCCAAGCTCAGACATTTCGTTTATCTGGATTATCAGCTCTGACCTTCTCCTGTGTGCTAAGCAGACACCACATGCTTTATCTTGTACACTGTGCCTGAGTATCTCTGGTATCGGTCAGCTGATCAATTGCTGAGATTAATTCTACCATCAGGGATTATGGCTGTTTACAATTTTAAACAGGCTTCAGGATTTACTCTTAAAAAAACACACTCTTCCAGCGTCAGCCTATTCATGTGTTCTTTGGCATTAGCTCTTTAGGGCAAAGACTGTCCTATTGTTATGCACGGTATTTGTAACACAATAGGTCATCAGCCTCTCTCTTTTTACTGTCAGGAGAGGCACTCAACTACAGTAACAAAAAGCCAAACCACAGTGGTGAAGAACTGTAGAAACGTTTAAAACGTAAGAGTTGACTGTAGAGTCTAGAGAAACTTTGGTTTTATTCCTCTAAGGGAAGAGTTTGTATAGACTTGGAATTCAAATTGAAAGAAAAATTCTGACAGGGAATGCTGGAAATGTGGGAGCCAGTTTGTAAGTGGAAGCGATATACTGAGGTGCTGTATTTTATAAGATTCCTCTTTCATAAATTATTTCCTTCCAGTGTGCCAAAGGATTCCTGTTGAATAGAACTTTCAAAAAGAGGAGTAAAATATACGGGGAAAGGATAGAGTTTTCTACTGCCAAAAGCCCAACCCTTTTTGTTATATTACTTGTGTCCTCCTGAAATCCTTTCCACCAGCATTCCTACCTAACCTGATTTCATCCTGTCCAGTTTCCATACCGGACCTTCCGACACCATCAGGCAGCATCAGCTTACCAAAACAGCTCCTTCCACTGTGCTCTGAATGGAAGCAGGGCAGAAAGTCACACAGGTCTCTCCACTCTGAAAACAAGTCCATTATGAATAGAGGTCTCACAGCTAAGACACATGTAGTCACCTCAGCTTCTCTTTAAACACCAAGCACCTTAAGTCAGTCTGGCTTATTTATTCAGTAAGTATGTTTTCCTTTATAGGGGTAGCTTGCACAACATGGAAGCACTACCTCTGACTTGGGAGCTTTGCAAGACTAACAGGTAAGATACCAGTAAGATAAATAATTAAAAAAATACTGCAGCTTTTCCCAGCTGAGCTAGTTCTGAATGCCTTGCAGCAAACCCAACTAGTATGAAAGAAGAAAAATACTCACATTTGTACAGTGGTCAAAAAACGTCCTGGGAAACGAGAAGAACTGAAGTTATTTCTTTGCTAGAGTTAAAGCCACTGTTCCAGCCACCATTTCCAGAAACTATTAAGCAATAAAATGTAAGCAAAACAACCTTGAATGATCTTGTCGAATGATACGTCTTTAATGTCTAAAAGGTAGTATGTACTAAGGAACTGATCTAGTTGACAGGCAATGAATCCTCCTTGCATAGTACATTTATCTCCATGGGATATCAAGAATTACAGCATTTTAGGAAAACTGGCACCTAGGTGAGCAAGCAGCCTCAATCCTATACAAAAGTTACAGAAAAACCTCAATGTTTCCAGGTTTTACTTTGCAATAGATCCACACCTATCCCACAGTACCATATTCTTTCACTGCGTTTTTCAATTGGTCATCTGTATGAAAAACAAAAGGCTGTAACCCACTCTGATACAGTAATTCATGATAAATTAGCTTCATTCTATTTAAACTTGGCCTTTTTGAGGTCAAATACCTCAAGGTATGTAGTTATGGACTTAATGTAAAATGTGTACCTCACAATACTCAGAAAACGATTATTTGATTAACACTTCATCCAGAAGATGTTTACTCCTTCCCTTGAGAATGTAAAAGATGAAGCTTCAGTTTCAGAAGTGCTTTTGCCACTCATCTAAAATTAACACTGAATTTTACATGAAGCCAAAAATTTTTAACTTAACAAGCTTACTAACAAAAGACATTTTTCTATATATATATAAAAAAATTACTTTTTACTGCATGTGTTAGACATATCTACGATGGATTTTTTCCCTTTACAGAATGATAGGCATAGAGAGGCATTGTACTTATATCATCATTAACTAATCCCTTTTTTCTAGTAACTTATGTCCTGATTTTCAAAAGCACTGATTATCAGCACAACCTGGGTACTGAATGGTAGCAGCAGGCACTCAGAACTGTTGAAAACAGACTATTAGTACTTGTGCTTTTGCTGCAAATGCACCATTTGAAAAGTAAACTTGCCTCTTGAAAACAGGTATGTTTACTTTTTAAGTCAAAATCGGTTGCCCAATTACTTACTACTTTAATCATTCTTGTAGTGCTTTAGAATGTTTAAAGTAACTGTTAACAATAATTACTTAATACACTATAGTGGATTATGATCAAAATTAATACGTCAGAAATGAAGTTTATGATTAATAAACTTTGAAAAATTTATACATGGCCATAAATAAATAATTTGAACTTCAGTCTCATTAAAAAGTAAACCAGTATGTCACACAACAATATCATCCTATCTAGACAATACAATCTTGATATATTTTATTGCATAATAATTTGAGAGTAACTTCTTAAGTAAAATATGTAAAGAAACAAAAATTATTAGATTTACTTCCTTTAATATTGAACAACCAAAGTGTCGCCTTTGTACATAATCCAATTTAAAGAGAATATAATTAGCACTTCCAGCATTAACAGTCTATATTTACAATGACTAAAATGGGGTAGATAATCCAGAGAGTATTCAAATCCGTATGAAACAAATCAAAATATGAAGATTTACAGCTGGCTCAAATCCAAGACTTTTCCATTTATGGAATGCAATTTAAAAGGCTCTGTCATCTTTATTACTTGTAAGGGTTCCTGAAATGATGATTTTTTTCAATAGTATTTTAAATATTTGAGTTCTTCAGTAATGCCTGCATTATTCGCACATGACATTAAAAATTAATTCCAATACTTATATATTTTTCATTTGCTTGTAGACCAGTCTGAAATCTGATGAAAGGCTAACAAGGAAATTTACTAAATAATCCTAATTACATATTCCTGAAAATACAACAGTTGGAAGCAGGTGATGTCAGTCCATTCCAAGGGTTACGTACACAAAACTTACAAAATGTTCTTCACTCTTGCATAAAATGTGTACAGTTTCAGTGAGTGGGGAACTTCAAAGTTTTTATGGGCTGCCGCTGGCGTGGACCTTTGATTGAAAATAAAATACCTTTCACTCTATTGTTCTGGTGGCAGTTTTAGAAGTTAATCATCAATCCCTGGTGTTTCACCCTGTTGTATTCTGGAGGCTATTCTAATGGCTTCTTCCAGAGACTGTTGTTCTCCAAGCTGAAACAAATGCATTTAAACATAAATAAATCCAAAATGTTACATATGGATAATAAATGTGTAAAAACAAAACAAAAACAAACAAAAAAACAACACAAAACCAAACCCCAACAAAAAAAGATGAAGGCAAAGATCTGGATATCGATCAGTTCTTTCACACAAGTAAGTGTGATCAGGAGTCACACCTCTTCTGGGTAATATATGCTAGCAGCTACCTAATTGACATGGCAATTAAACTAGCTTCTGACAGCAGATTAAAATGAGTTTCTATGTATTTACTAAATAAATTTTCTTCAAAGAACTGCTGCATGGTAAACGTTTCATGACACACAAAACAGATGATATTTCAACTTGGCAGATATAACAAAGCTAAGATAAAGCTTTCAAAAGTCATGGTGGCTGTTGAATTACATTTTAACATTGGTAAACAACACTGGCAAACAATCTTCATTTTTCTTAACTCTTGCAGAAGGTCAGCTCTTTGGAACACCATATGACATTAATATATTTAAAAAGTTTAACTTTATTGCAGAATCCTGACTAGGTAAGAAAAGCAGTCATGATGACACTGATTCTATGGTAGTTTAGGAAGGATGTTATCTTGTAGTAGAAGCACAAGGCCATTAACGTATCTGACATGGTCAGAGGCAATTTCAACTAACACTGAATAAAGACAATTTTGGAAAGAATATGTACACCATACACATATGTCCAGTGATGGGAATACTGAAGACAGACGACCTCAACCTATTAAAAACAAAGTTGGTCATTAACCTGTTGGCTCAGGATAAAGCTGCATGAGAGTGTGTAAAGGAAAACCACATTATTTGCCAGATAGACCTAATGGGACAGTTCTAAATACTGCTTGTCACTAGCTCTCACATTCTGGAGCTACTCGAAGCAAAAGCAGCTCTGTTACCACCTCCTTAGGACTTCAATTTGGCTATCAGGCTCCTGGCTTTATCAGTATTTAGAAACTCAATGGATTCATTTGGAAAATCAAGTGCTTACTATTCCTCTTCCTAACCCTATATATTATTTAAAATATGAGATCATACAGTTATGGGGTATTTTTTTGTAGGGGAGCCAAGCTTATTAGAATAATTCTGTTGCATGACTAAGAGCTTCTAGAAGTAAGAAACACTTCAAAAAACATATCACCATCTTACCTGTACTGCAATTTGTGTTCCATTTGATGTAGCCAGCAATGTGACAGGTCTAGTTTCTGTAGTCACTAAATGGTGCCCATGTTGTTGATGTCCCATGTCTGATGAGGCGCTATGAAATGCTGCTAAGTCTTGAGCCACAATAGCAACCTTCAATACCAAAGGAAGAGAATCAACTGGATGACAGATCTGTTACAATGGTTATCTTCAAAGTTAAAGTTAAATTCAAAGCCATGATCATGCATGAGCATGATTTTATTGTGTAAAAGATAATTTTTTTAAGAAAGGTTGCCATCATTGTGTTTTCAAAGTTACCTGTTAGCTCTCAAAATATGGATTTCGTGAGAACTGCACAGAAATCCAGTAAATGTGTCTATAAGCCTGTAACTATTTATACATACAGAGCGTAGTGATTAGTAAGTATATTCATTTCATCTGGTGGATTTTTCAAACAGTGGAATCCATTATTAAGTTAAAGTTTTAAAATGATTCAGTATATTTCTACTTTAAAAGCTAGGTATTGTATTTGTATATTAAGAACAAACCCACAAATACATACTTACACAAATGCTTCCTATCTGCCGAATTAACTACAGTCCCATAATAGTGATAATGTTACAGTTCATACTGGATTCTATTCTTAGTTCTGGCACTCATTGACTACGTGACTTTGGGGAAAACACTTAGCATTTCCAGGTCTTATTTTACATGCATGCACCTAAATGAAATGCCAGATTGGTACCTTAATTTTTTTCTTGGTGGACAATTGTTTTTAGAACATTCTGCCATATGTTGATATATAGCAGCGGAGTAGAACACATCATATGTATGAGTGTGAATATGAATAATCATTCCCTTTATGTGAAAGGAATGCTATGGCCAGGTGTTGAAAACTGCTTTATTTAGATAAATCCATGTGAATGACAGAACTGTGATGGCTTAGAATCATAGAATACTTAGGGTTGGAAAGGACCTTAAGATCATCAAGTTCCAACCCTGCTGCCATGGGTAGAGTCACCACACACTAAACCATGTTACCCAAGACTCCATTCAAACTGGCCTTGAACACTGCCAGGGATGGAGCATTCACAGCTTCCTTGGGCAACCCATTCCAGTGCCTCACCACCCTCACAGGAAAGAACTTCTTCCTAATATCTAACCTAAACTTCCCCTGTTTAAGTTTGAACCTGTTACCCCTTGGCCTACCACTACAGTCCCTAATGAAGAGTCCCTCCCCAGCATCCTTGCAGGCCCCCTTCAGATACTGGAAGGCTGCTATGAGGTCTCCCCGCAGCCTTCTCTTCTCCAGGCTGAACAGCCCCAACTTTCTCAGCCTGTCTTCATATGGGAGGTGCTCCGGTCCCCTGATCATCCTCGTGGCCCTCCTCTGGACTTGTCCCAACAGTTCCATGTCCTTTTTATGTTGAGGACACCAGAACTGCACACAGTACTCCAAGTGAGGTCTCACGAGAGCAGAGTAGAGGGGCAGGATCACCTCCTTCGACCTGCTGGTCACACTCCTTTTGATGCAGCCCAGGATACGGTTCTTTCTGGGCTGCAAGCGCACACTGAAGCAGGCTCATACTCAGTTTCTCATCAACCAACACCCCCAAG